CGTTGATCCCATCACCAGAAGGGAGTGATCACTGGAGGAGGACACCAGGTGGGACCCCCTTGTGGAGATGGATCGACCCAGCAGCCACAGCATTGCTGGTGCCGGAAGTATGATTTGGGACTGGCCAGCACTTCTTTCTGTTGTGTAAGACTGACATCACTCTCGGTCAACAGGTGACACCAGGGCAAAAGCAGTCCCTGCCTGGGGAAGGGCTGCGTGAGCAAGACACAGCAAAGCAATGTGCATGTCAGCTTGGCAGAAATGAACGAGGGCTAGTAGAGATGATTCTGACCTAGATGATTCTGATGAAGTAGATTGAATAAAGCACACAGAATGGCAGTGTGCAGAATGTGACTTTCAGATTTCATCTGCAATTCGAATATCTGCCCTCACTCAATGAAGGTCGGCCTAAGTCCATGTTGCACACACAGACACATACACATACACACACAGACACAAAAGTAGTCACAGCAACCTGGGTCGTTCATAAATGTGGGCCAGCTCTAAATAGCCCATTTGCCCTCTGTGTCCCATGGTGTGAGTGTCAGCACATATTAGGAACAGGACAGGGCACACAGAGTCCTAGCAAAGTGTTCCTGCCTCTCAGATCTAATTGTTTTTACACACACTTCCACAGCCAAGCTTGTTTGCCTTGAAATTGATTGGTTCTTGCACTCCCCGAATTGGTGATATGTTCTCCGGAGAGATTCTACAAGTTTTGGAGGCAAGCATCTACAATGATAAAGTGGGTGGTAGTATTTCTCCCATGCCTCTAATTTATGTATTTGTGCTGGGGTGATGATTTAGATGGGAGCTCGATAAATTGATCAAATAAATTACCCCAAACCCACACACAATCATTTCAAGGAGCTGTCCGCACACACAGGCGGTTCTATATCACCCAGCGTGGTATGCCGGAGAACCACTGTGTTTTCCCGGTGTGCCGCTGGGCTTTCATTCGGTCAGCCAAATGGAAGGTCTTTATTTCTCAGATTGGCCAGCACTGTGAGGATTTCTGGTCCAGAAGGCATTGTTTAGCTGTAGAAGGCAGGAATTCATGGCTGCGTGCCCTTTGATGACTTATCCAAGTGCTCTCAGTTTCCCTCTCTATAAAATGTGGATGCATAATTCCTGCCTCTAAAGTTCATTGGAAACAGAAGCAAGAAAAACTTGAAATAGTGCAAAGAGTCAGGCTGTTAGGCCAACATGGATCCAGTTTCTGTTTACGAAGGCAGTGGTAGAATTCTCTCTTTTCTTGCAGTTCCCTAAACTGGGTTCACACACACGTTTCAACTCACAGCCAATGCATGGTCCCCAGCAGTGTGTCAGTGGAGACTTATGTGTTGCTGTGATGCTGAACAGGTACGTTCAGTGGCATTTCAAGGTATAAATGGACTTGGAAAAAAGGCCTGGTGACCTGCTTCCAAAAACCAGCCAGTGTAGTACAGAGGCAGTAATGGAGTTGGTGCAGGAACAGGCCTGGTTTTCTCTTCTTTGTGCATAGGATTGTCTTGAATCCAGGACCTCATGACAGCCTCCTGGCTCCATCACTATCTGTGCAAAACACTGCTCCTCTAGAAGCCTCAATCTCCTAGCCTATGAAGTGGTATTGCCAGTAATTCCAAGATAATATCTTCCAAGTGGTGTGATGATGTGGTCTAAGATAAGCCATTGGATCTAATTCCCTATCAAGAAGGCCTGGAGGCTTATTCTTGCCCATGTCCCAAAGGCATCTGCACCCTAAGAGACTGCCTTGGAGACAAACTCACCTAAAGACATGAAGTGGAAAAGAGAGGGTTAGTATCAAAGCAGGAGGTATCAGAAGAGACAGAGAAGTAATTATTCCTCTAGACAGTGCTCCTGCATAATGATTTTTTTCTAGTACTTAAAAAGTGGATGATATGTTGACATTTGACAAATACAATTTAGAAGACGCTGTAGATGTAGGAACAAAAACGTTGTGAGAAGGTAGCCACTCGACAGCATTTTTAATATACTCTGTTTCCATTGAACAAGAATTCCTTTTTTTCCCCTTCTGAGAGAGCCAGTAGATCAATAAGCAATGGGAAAATGATTTTAAAACTGGATTATTTGATGGGTAGTTTGTCAGTCAATATGTATGTGCTGCATGAGTTAGAAGATGGGTGGATAGATAAGAGGATGGAAGGGTGGATGAGTGGATGGATGGATAGTGGGATACCTACATACATGCATAGATGGGAATGGACGGATAGATGAGTGGATGGATGGATGGATGGATGGTGGGATACATACATACATACATGCATAGATGGGAATGGATGGATGGATAAGTGAATGGATGGATGGATGATGTGATACATACATGCATAGATGGGGATGGATGGATGGATGGATGGATGGATGGATGGATGGATGGGTGGATGGTGGGATTCATACATTCATAGAGGGAATGGATGGATAGATGAGTGGATGAATGGATGGATGAATGATGGGATACATACATACATGCATAGATGGGGATGGATGGATGGTGGGATTCATACATTCATAGAGGGGATGGATGGATAGATGACTATTTGGATGCATGAATAGATGGATGGATGGATGAGTAGATAATAAGGAAGATAGATGAATGAATGGATTGATTTGGATTCTGGCTTCATCACAGATTAGCTGACTGACCTTTGACAAGTTAGTTAACCTTTCTGGGTCTCTGTTTCTTCTCTGTGAAATGGAAGCAATAATAATAATAATAATAATGTCTGCATAGCCATGAAGATTAAATATGTTACTACTTAGTGAAGTCATTAGGTCAGGCCCTGGAAGCTAGAAAGATTCACAAGAAATGTAAATGATTGTAACTTGCCATTGTTATGCCTTTTGCTCAAACACTCCCTGATCCCAGAGTTTTCTCTTTTTAAGACACTGGTGTTCTTTGTACTTGCAGGTCAGCAGGTGTTGGGTTTGGTAGAGAACCAGAGTGATTGGTACCTTGGAAACCTGTGGAAAAATCACCGCCCTTGGCCTGCCCTTGGAAGGGGCTATAACACCGGTAAGTCATGGGGGGAATAGACAGTGGGGGTTTCCAAAGGATGATATGAAGGCTCAATCCTTTTTCACCTGCATTTGGCAGCACGCATCCTCCCCTCCCCCGCCCTGTTCTGGTGCAGCAGGGACAGACGAAGTAGGTATTACGTGTTGGCAGTCCCCTGACACTTCTGCTGACCATCACATCTGACTCCTCCTGGACATCTTTATCGATATTGATCTGCAGGCTCCTTAGCTCCGTAAATACGGGGCAGGTATCTGGAGATGGAGCCACTAGGAGGTGAAACATGATGCCCTGTTCTGCAGGCTGACAAAAGTGACTGGTCTTCTCCCTGCGCCTCCCAGTTTGGTACAGAAGGTGGAGTCAGGAGGCTGACTTTGCAGAGCAGGAAGCTGGTGTGGCCTGGCTGCAGAGGGAAGAGTCAGAATGTCCAGTCTGAGAGGTGAAGGGCAGACTCCAGGTCGACTGCAAACACTAGCATGCACAGAGGAACAATGAGAAGGGGTTAGAGTCAGGGATGAGGTCATAATGGACCCAAGGCCGGGGTCAGCATCCTGGCCAGCACTGGCAGTCGGGGGACCTCGGTGAGGATGAGGACATACCTTAGGTGATACTAGCCAGAAGCATCTCTCTCTCTCTCTCTCTCTCTCTCTCTCTCTCTCTC